TTGATTGGTGTGGGTTGTCTTCCGATAGACTTGGGCTTCTAATTTGCTGTTGTTTCCTCTGCTGATGAGGATCTCCAGGAAGGGGACCGTGTTGTTGTTTTCTTCCTCTCTGGTGAATTTTATTCCTCTGAAGATGTTGGTGGTGGTTTCATGTGTCTTCTCTACTTGTTCTTTTTTAGTATAACAAAGGTGTCATCTACGTACCGGATCCATATTTTAGGCTGTATGTGGGGAAGTGCTATGGCTTCTAGGCGTTGCATTACAATCTCTGCTCTGAGTCCTGACAGTGGTGATCCCACGGGTGTGCCTCTGATTTGCTGGGATATTTGTCCATCAAACTGAAAATAGGTGGTGAGGCAGAGGTTGACAAGGTCCGTGATTCTGGGTATTCCGATCTGGGTGTATTCAGTTAGGTCGGGTGTGTTGTGTAGTGCTGCTGACATGGATTCTTTTGCTAGTTCTGGGTTTATGGACGTAAAGAGTGCCGTGACATCAAATGAGACCATAATTTCATCTTCATCTATGTGTACGTCTTTGATTTTCTGGAGGCACTGCAGTGAGGAGCTGATAGAATATTCACTGTTCTCTGTGAGATGTGAAGCTTTTTCCCCAGTTCTTTCGCTATGTTGTATGTTGGAGTCCCTGGTAAAGATACAATTGGTCGGAGTGGTATGTCAGGCTTCTGTATTTTTGGTCGTCCATAGAAGCGTGGGAGGATGCTTTTCATCCGCCACTGTTCTTCCTTTGTGATCCAGCCTTTCCTAGTTAGGTTGTTGACGTTAATCAAGAGAACCCTCAAGAGCACCGGCAAGGCAGGCCACAGCACATAAATAGGGAGCAAACCCCATCCCATTTTAGCGCTGAAGATGTTACCTAGACGGGTAATGAAACGTTTGCAAGAAAAAAACCAAGCTCAGAGAACCCCACGGACTCCACAAGTCATCTTAAAGTTGCCAAGGTTGAAAACACTGCTCTGGACTTAGCAAAGGTGCCTGCGTTCCTCTGTTTTGATTCTTCTGTTCCTCCGCTCCTGATACGTATTGCCAGGAGGCTTATAAGCAAACAACCAGAAAAGGCCACCATCCATCATGAGATGCTACCACACACAGGAATAATCAAGAGATTGTGAAATGCTACTTCAAATAGGATGAGCGTTTCTAAATGTTTAGAAATACTGATTCTGCTAATTGAACTGGAATTTCACAAAATACTGTGGATTTAATGCCACATCATCTTTACGGCATTGTGCAAATTACCTTCAAAGGGGTGTTATGTTTATTTAAAACTTTAATTAAAAAATACAGATCTTTGCATAGTGTGGGGATGAATGTGGGAGAAAGATCTTGTCTGCGTTTGGATGTCGTTTTGGTTCAACCAATTCCTTCCAGCTAGCCTGCTTGAAATTGTTCTTTCTTTGAAAGTTCAAGATTTTGACATCTTTTAAAGTGGCCTTGAAAACTGAATCTCGTTTTTGTTGAAATTATTTTATTGCATTTGCTAATTTTTAATGGATCTCAATGGTGAAAAAGGAGGCCTGGGGTGCAGCATTAATCCCCCCCCCTTCCCTGCACCAGGTTTCTGGAAGGGGATGAAGACGAGGACACCTGCACCATCGCACAGGCTGATATCGCTGCCGCAGTGGACCTTGCAGCCAGTGCCAAGGTGGAGGGGCACAGT